TGTCGAGAAAATCGCAAATGCTTTCAAAAATCAAAACGTTGGTATTTTAAAAGTAAGACGAATTCTAATAAGGCTGAATATCGCCGATGTTCAAAAGAATATAAGAAATGTCTGAATAAACATATAAACAAGTATAAAAATGAATTCTCTCACTTGGTAAGAAAAAAACAAAAGCATTCCCCTAAAGAATTCTGGAAAATACTAACAAAAGGTAACAAATATGATAATTCTGAAATACCAGACATAAAAGAATTTTTTGAACATTTCAAGCATATCAACAGTAAACAGACTACTCCTGATTGTGAAATAGATCAAGAAATTAAAGATTATGATGATCACATATTAAATGATGATATTACCTTGATAGAAGTGACACATGCTATCAAAGCTAAAACGAAATAAATCTTCTGGTATTGATGACATTGAAAATGACTATCTTATTGATTTCTCTGATCTACTTGGTCCTTTGTTTGTTGATTTTTTCAATTTGATATTCTCCACAGGAATAATGCCTGAAGCATGGTTGACTGGCTCTATTAGACCTATATTACAAAGGTAAAGGCCAGAAATCAGACCCCAATGCCTATAGACCAATCACTATTTTAAGCTGCTTTGGAAAGCTTTTCACTAGTATATTGAACAACAGACTGAACATTTTCTTGAAACAAACAATATTTTAACCCTGCGCAGGCAGGTTTTAGGAAATAACATTCCACAAACGACAACATATTTGTTTTCAACATGCTTACTCAGATTTTAAAGGCCTGTAAAGAAAGTTATATTGTGCGTTCATTGATTTTTCTAAAGCTTTTGATAATGTATGGAGGATTGGACTTTGGCAAAAATAGTTAACAATGGAATTACAGGTAAATTTTTACGCTTATACAAAACATGTATGCAAATATCAAATCTTGTGTATGTTCAAATGATAAGTTCTCAGATTATTTTCAATGTTATTCGGGCGTCCGCCAAGGGGAAACTCTTTAACCTCTTTTATTTTGTTTATTCATAAATGATTTAGAACAATTTCTCATCGATGACAGTTGTAAAAGTGTTATGCTCGAGAAGGTAAACATACAGTTATGTCTATCATTTATTGTACTTCTTTATGCCGACGACACTGTCCTGTTTGCTGATTCCGCATCCGAACTACAGAGTACCTTAGATTCTTTTAGCAAATACTGTAAAATTTGGAAATTAGAAGTGAATCTTGATAAAACGAAAGTCTTAATTTTTGGAAGTGGCCCTGCTAATAATAGTAAACTTAATTTTGTCTATGAACAATCTCCAATTGAAATTGTAGATAACTATACTTATCTTGGAGTGACATTTAGTAGAAATAGGAAATTTAATCTATCAATCAAAAACCTTGCAGCAAGCGCATCCAAAGCAATGTTTTGTCTTTTAAAAAAATCTAGAAATCATAATATCCCGTTGGACTGTTTACTTAAGGCATTTGATGTTATGATAGCCCCAATTCTTTTGTATGGCTGCGAAACTTGGGCATATGAAAATTTAAATATAATTGAAAAAACCCATTTGAAATTTTGAAATTGGCCAGCGGTTTACGAAATTCTACCCCTACTTTTATGGTATATGGAGAACTCGGAAGATTTCCTTTATATATCACTGCAGCTAAGCGTATTATTTGTTACTGGCATAAACTTAATAATCCTGGAATGCAGCAGAAATTATCAAAACTGATCAACAATTATGCATATGCACAAAGTATCTTTGAGAATGATTTTGATCCCTGGATGCATCATGTTAAATCTTTGTTAGATAAATGTGGCTTATCTTTTGTATTCTATAACCCTGTAAGCGTACCATGCCAATGGCTAGTTTCACAAGTGGAGACTGTATTAAAAGACCAGTTCCAACAAAGTTGGAAAGCTGATATTGAAAATAGCTCTAAGGGATTTTACTATAAACATATTAAAGATACTCCCATATTTGAAAACTATCTTCTCTTCCCAGCTTATATTTACTATCCTATTTTGAAATACAGAACCTGTAATCACAATCTCCCGGTAGAAACTGGTCGTTGGCATGGTATCGCTAGAAAAAACAGAACATGTAAACTTTGCAAGTCACCAGCAATAGGCGACGAATTTCATTACTTATTTAAATGTGAAGCCCTTACAGATATAAGATTGAAATATTTACCAACTAGACATATGTACTTCCCCAATTTATCAACATTGAAGAAAATATTTAATAGTAGAAATTCAAAAGAAATAAGAAATCTATCCAAATATCTGCTAGTATTAGATGAACTTTTTGTCAAAAATGGTTAAACCTCAATCAGCTCTTTCTATAGATAACAAATCACTTAACAGATCTTAATTTATGGCATTATTATGTTTCATTTTAAACTGTTCTACCTGTCATTTTGTCATGTTTATTTATATGTATTTAAATGGATTATGTTTGATTTTCTCTTGTACCACCAAACGTGGTTATTTGAGAATAAACTGAACTTGAACTTGAACTTTATTCGTGTTTTTCACCCACACCACCAATCAGTATTGACAACAGAGTCATGTGACCAAAACGTTAATTAGTACTTTTCTATGGTGTCCATGGTCTTTACCGACAGTAATTAATTACATAATCAAGAACCTCAAATCAACAATCATGTTGAATAAGCTGGTCTTATAAATATAATTATTCAACAAGTTAAGGGAAACAAGAGGGTAAACTATGGACTATAATCAATAAAACCACAACATAACATCCGCCGTCCCTTCAAATGAAATTTTCAAATTTATAAATTGATATATTTATTATTAACTATTTACTGTGGGAAATCTGATAAAATGTTTGAAAAGCATAAGAAGCTGATACAAAGCAGTGCAATATGCCACAAGCAAAATTAGAATTTGATGGTTTGGGTTTTATGAAGACAGATTACACAAGTAACATGAACGTTCAAGTTTAGTGTATAGCCTTATAGTGAGTGAGTGATCATGAGTGAGTGAGTATGATTTTACGCCGTTTTTTATGAACATATTTTATTCATGAATTATAAACATATCATGAATATGGATTGACACAAGCCAACGGCTTATGTAAGTGCCGCTCCATCAAATATAACACAATACAATCAATAATTAATTTCAAACAAAGTACAGTAGCAATAATTTCCACAAAGGCATGAAATGCATATTAATAGGAAACCATCTACAAAATTACATTAAATGGTTCATAGTAATTACATACATATGAGTTTAGAATAATTTGAATCTATTTAAAAGTAGTATGCATTTATGAACAGTCAAGAATAAGCTGATTAATTCTGTTGCTGGAAGTTTGATTACCTTGAAGAATTGAATTTAAGTCAAAACAATTAGTGTAGAAATATTAATCTGATCTTATTAAGTCATAACAAGGGCAAGAAAAGAAGTAATGGAGAGAATATTCCCACGGATACCCACATGCACAATTCGGATTATTTGAAATATGATAAACAATGAGCGTTCAAGTCACTACAATCCAACCTGAGGAGAGCATGGATTATTTGACAAAATCTAGATCCCAAGTTTTTTTATCAATGAGAATATTTCCTTGTTTGGTCTGTAATCGTGTTTTGAACGCATTTACTGATTGTGAGTTAATAATTTCGGTTGGTAAATTGTTCCATAAACGTATAGAGTCTGTTAAAAAGGAACGTGCATACGAGTCTGTATGGCAACGAATTGTGCGAATACTATCAGTATTTCTCAGATTGTAAGAACTTAAAACTGAAACATGTTCTAGAATTAAATCAGATAAGTAGTTTGGAGTAAGGTTATTTTTCATTTTGTGAAATAAAGTAAGATTCTTCATTTCTCTACGCTTAACTAATGGAAATCGGTCTCCTTGTAATTTGTTCATGACTCGTTCCTCTCAAGACTCCAGAAATCGTTCTTAGAGCGTCTAATTGTAAATCATTGGTTGTTCTTTCGTACAGTTGTCCCATATTGTCCCATATGTGGCAACAATAATCGAAGTGTGGAAGTATATAATAGGTGTACATACATTCTAATGTATGTCTAGTTAATCTATACGTTAATCTCATTATTTAAAGCTTCTTAAACAATTTGTGGGAGAATAAAATCGTTTCAGTTTTGGTTAGATTAAAATTTACCTGCCACATATCGGCCCAATCAGAAATACGATTTAAGTCATTGATCAAAATTCTTACTGCTGCTTTCTCTGGATCTTCTACAACTATATACACTGATGTGTCATCAGCAAATAGTCGAATATTGCTGTTGATGCCATCTACATCATTCATATATACTAAGAACAGTAGCGGACCTAAGACTGATCCCTGGGGACCCCTACCGATATGTTTTAAATCTGATGATAGCAGCTCTAAGACTGATCCCTGGGGACCCCTGCCCATATGTTTTAAATCTGATGATAGCAGCTCTAAGACTGATCCCTGGGGACCCCTACCGATATGTTTTAAATCTGATGATAGCAGCGCTAAGACTGATCCATGGGGACCCCTACCGATATGTTTTAAATCTGATGATCGGCCATCTATAAGTACTCTTTGTACTCTATTTCTATGATAACTGCGAAACCATTCAATTAAACAACCACGTATTCCATAAGCCTCTAGTTTAAACAATATATTAACACGGAAAAACTAGACAAAGTTTTACCAATATTTTATAACGATATGCGTTATTGAAAACTGGAAATATTACAGACTAACCGACTACGTTCCTCAATCTTAAACCTGCCAAGGGTCACATTGATAACGAACATCGGACTTAATCCGGGACCAGTATCTCTAAAGCTAACAGAACCAAGGTGCATTACGTTTATCTGTCTTTACGGCTGTTTGTATTCCACGTTGGTCAAATCACGTGCGTGCCACATATACCTTCGTGGCATACTCGCGACTGGCCATCGATGCTTCGGTCCAACTAAATGACATAATCTCACGTTCACAATAACAACGTTATCGTAAGTTTTATCTGTAAACGCGATTATTTGCGATAGCTAGAATAGATATATATTACGGATGACAGTCACAAATCAGGGGGTGGCTGTCTAGTAAATTCACTCGGGTCTCGGGTGTTGTGTGGGTTGGTTGTGCCACTGGTACCTCTGCTGAGCGAGTTGAAACTTCAGCTCGCTCTTAATAAGTGGCAGGGGACCGAAAGTGGCAATGGCGACACACCAACCCACAAACATGGCAAAACCTGACGCAGGACCGAGACGACCCATCCACTGACAACCCAAGACTCCACCACAGAACCGGACGGAACAGACGAGCAACTGGAGGATCCCGCAAACCAATGCCCCAGGTACCAACACCACAGGCACTCCTCCAGTCACTATATATGGGGTCCCACTTCCTACACGGTCCATATCGCAGTAAAGCACCGGTAGTTGACATGATGGACGACAAAGGCAGCGTCACGGCAGTCGTCATCACGGATCACAGAAGAAGATGACCAGAGTCAGAAGCCCAGACAACCCCGTCATCATCAAGATGTCAGCCGATAATCAGGACATCATCGGTAACCCAACATTCATGTGAGTGAACCAACTTTCAAGTTCAAGTCAACCTAGGCATACATCACGAATCATCTGCAAGTTTCTTCCGATGTGTGTGACAATATCTGTGAACTTTGGTTCTGACTCTCACCGTGAACTGTGTACGTGAACTTCTCAAGGACGTTCTTGTTTATGTGAGGTATGTTGTATGTTCTCCGGTCATTGTTTCGTTGTGTTCACATTTGTCATATTTTCATATATTGAGTATGTATTGTAATCTATGTGATGTTATCAGACATACATCTTTATCAGATTAAGTTGTTGAAATCGGCTAGGTTCTTACTCTACGGTACGATCTGGTCACACCCTACGCCCTACACATGTACGCATTTAGTGCAGATCAACGTTATCTGCGGGATCCGAGTCTTCCCATACAAACCAGACTCCCGGTTTCAAGGATTTTTCTCATACTTTGTAGGTCTATAACCGTCACTATAGATAATAGCTTTCCATAAGCTATTCAATACAATATGATTTCCTGCTTACATTTTCATGTCATCCATTTTGAACATGTGAGCATCAAATTTATAAGTACTCATTATGAAAGATATGACATATCGTTCCCTGTCGTAACAGCTTCTATACAAGAATACCCATGTTATGGAGACCCATTGCTAGGCATATTCACCGAGCTATTTAGTGGAGACTGTATACCATGTCTGTATCGTACTACATGTACTTCGTTTCGCCTCTGTGAGTTTACTTTAACTATGATACCGGCGGAAGTAAGTAACTTCGGGTCCCTGGCTCACATAAACGATTCGTAGAAATATCGTCGAGCCAAATTCACTTGAATGAATTTTTCATTATATGTCAGTTTAGGCTTTTGAAGTTGGTTAGGTTCCCTTCTCTTCATGTCCTTACTTTGTTTAGAGCAGATCACAATATCTGTTAGCCTTGCCGAGTCTAGGCTCACAATATAAGACTCCCAACTTCAAGGATCTTACTGCTATCATGAAAATATTACATTCATATGCAAACGACGACGCATTGCGCACATTATGTTTTTGTTTCTATATGTCATATATGTACTTATCAGTCAGGTATTCCGACTATCTGGTCAACCGCGAGCAGGATTTTGCCGCTCGGTGGAAACGTCCAGTGTTTTGTTTGTACGAGCTGGAAGGCCGCTCACCTGTGTTTTGTGTGTACACGTCAGAAATTCCGTTGAACTTGTTATTGTTATATTTTGCTACGCCGATGTTGGCAATTCGACTTATGTGTTTACTTGTACGTTCGTGTATATCTTATCTAAAACCATTACGATCATTTGACTATTTATGGATCCGCGGTACCAGTTGTTTCCGTACCGCAATTTACTCATCACTCGTAATGTACTGTATGATGTCAATTTTTGTTTATTGAAATTTCGGGACGAAACTTTAAAAGAACAGGGGGATACTATTAACACGGAAAAACTAGACAAAGTTTTACCAATATTTCATAACGATATGCGTTATTGAAAACTGGAAATATTACAGACTAACCGACTACGTTCCTCAATCTTAAACCTGCCAAGGGTCACATTGATAACGAACATCGGACTTAATCCGGGACCAGTATCTCTAAAGCTAACAGAACCAAGGTGCATTACGTTTATCTGTCTTTACGGCTGTTTGTATTCCACGTTGGTCAAATCACGTGCGTGCCACATATACCTTCGTGGCATACTCGCGACTGGCCATCGATGCTTCGGTCCAACTAAATGACATAATCTCACGTTCACAATAACAACATTATCGTAAGTTTTATCTGTAAACGTGATTATTTGCGATAGCTAGAATAGATATATATTACGGATGACAGTCACAAATCAGGGGGTGGCTGTCTAGTAAATTCACTCAGGTAAGAAATTTTACTTTCTTCTACTTTGACATACTATTGCTATTCTATGTTAACTTTAACCTATTGTAAATACCTTAACTATATGTTACCACCCTTGGCAGTACCTTCAGGTTTATGTGGAACGAGGCATCCCTTAGTATGTGTCTCATCTCTTCTGTATTAAGTTAAGGATTGTTTATTAATACTGACTATTATAGAATGTATAGAGTGTGTCGGATATTTTAACTATTGTATTACGTTGTGAATACTATGCTGGTTGGGACCGTTACAGAATGTAGATTGTATGAACCCCCACTGGGCTGGTGTGTAGAGTACTGAACAATCACACTACGTGGTTTACTTTTGAATGTGTATCATGATTAATGTAGTATGTGTAACGAATCCAAGTGTGATGTTTATGTACTTTGATAGATGATTACAGTGTTAACATGTTCTAATAATTAATTATAAACCATACTATCATTGATTGATTAGGTGAAATCATCCTGTGACTGCTGTGTATTAAACTCCTTGTTTATTTTACTCAGGTGTTGTGTTGTGTGTGGGTTGGTATAGTCAGACCTCTTGCCAAGCGAGCTAATTCCCCAACACTCGCGTTTTAACAAATATACCATTGTGCCACACTCTGTCAAACGCTTTGCTAATGTCACAGAATTCTTTACAGCAAATGCTTTGGATAATGGATAAGAAGTAAATTCTTTTCCATTATCCAAAGCATTTGCTGTAAAGCCATATAGATATATAAGTTGATTAGCAGTACAATCCCTGGGCATAAATCCAGATTGCAAATTTGTTAAAACATTATTGTCCCTTAAAAAGTTAAAAACATATTTGAATACGCATTTTTCAAATATCTTCCCAATACATCTCGTACGTTCAACGGGCCTGTAATTGTGACATTCATTTACACTGCCCTTCTTATGCAAAGGACATACTGAAGCTTCTTTCCATATAGTGGGAAAAATACTTCCGTGCAATGACTTATTACATAAATAGGTGAGGGGCAAAGAAAGTGATTATGCGGTTAGCTTGATAAAACTGATTGCTTATTTTGTCAGGGCGCTTTTAACAACATTCCAGCAATATCAAGGCGGGGGACACAAGAAATGGGCTTCACACATTGTACCCATATGGGGAATCGATCCCGGGTCTTCGGCGTGACGAGCGAACGCTTTCACCACTAGGCGACCCCAACACGCGTTATAATCTTATAGCCCTTGACAGAGTAATTAATCACAAACATTTTATCCATTTATAACCCAACCACTTCCGCGTTATCACACAAAAGCACTTGAGGGTCTTAAGGATTCATTGACCTTGAGATCATCTCAATTAACATGAGTATTGGCAGTCGGTCAGCTACAGCACTATAAGTCACAAAGCTACCCTATTCGAAACTGACAACTGCACTTCGAGTTTTCATGATTATCCATTGGCTAGAGTGCACTTTATCTATTGTGTAGCATATGGGTGTACACTATATCCATTTCCGTAATAAACACGTCGTTTACACGGATGTACATTTCCTGAGCAATTCCATTTGACAAGAAGGGCATCGATAGGTTACTGTTTTCGTGCGAACTTCAGGGGAGGATACAGGTGCCTGTGTGTGCGCGCGCACAGTTCACTTGCATCCGTTTTCAAGAGAGTTTCAATGGTCATGTAATAAATCTTTCAGGACAGAGGGTGGGGGGCCTATGGTGTGTGTGTGGTGTCCACCCATACCGCCTAATTTGTATGTATTAGGTAGGGGTAGGCCAGTAGGTGGAGTTGGTTAGTCATGGTTGGTTAATTGATGACATTTAGGTGACCCCGTTCATCTTGTGAGGAGATTTTCAAATGAAAAGATATCATGCATCTTTAAGCTTAACCCCCTTGTACAGTTCACATCACTTACATATTAATACAAGCTATAGCTGGGTCTACTCAGTTGGGAACACTAATTAGGACTGTTCCATTTCAGCCATGTGTGTTGTCTTAATTAATCCCATTCATTCACAAGTTGTGGCTGTGTAAGATATGGCTGTCTAAGTTTTGGGAGATAACCGGTATGGGTGTGGAAGAGTTCACGTTGAAACATTGGTGGGCTGTATCACACAAGTCAAGTTCATTATCACACAGTAAAATCACTTCAAGTTGTGCAAGGTGAGCCTTCGACTCTGTACACCTAGTCCATCACACAGATCTCGCTCCAGGTCAAATCGTCCTTCGCCCGCGGTAATCTACTGTCAACAGCGACATACTTCCTATTCCTTCTGGGTTCACGCTGATGTCCTTGTTGCTGAGCTAGCCTTACTTCGACGTCATAGAGGTAGGGAGCATGATGGTTTTATTCTGGTCCTATCTTCACTAGCCCCACGTCATACAGGTGGGGAGCGGGATGGTTGTATTCTGGTCCTATCTTCACTAGCCCCACGTCATAGAGGTAGGGAGCATGATGGTTGTATTCTGGTCCTATCTTCACTAGCCCCACGTCATAGAGGTAGAGAGCAGGATGGTTGTATTCTGGTCCTATCTTCACCACGTCATAGAGGTAGGGAGCATGATGGTTTTATTCTGGTCCTATCTTCACCACGTCATAGAGGTAGAGAGCAGGATGGTTGTATTCTGGTCCTATCTTCACCACGTCATAGAGGTAGGGAGCATGATGGTTTTATTCTGGTCCTATCTTCACCACGTCATAGAGGTAGGGAGCATGATGGTTTTATTCTGGTCCTATCTTCACTAGGCGATCATCTACTGTCTGTCCCTTGCACTGTAACTCGGTACAACACCAATAGTTGTGTCTACCTTCTTGGTCTTGCATCTGTAGCCAGCCGTGGTACGCATGGCGTCCGCCACGTTGATGAGGTAGGAGATTACTAGGAATGATATTGCTACTAATACGCTTGCCATCTCTAGCAATGACTAACGGTGATGATGATGATGATAATGATTTGGGGTTTTACGTCGGCTTCTGGTATTGGGGCCATTTATTTATATATATTAATATATCCTTCTCAATGTAAAGTCTCCTTCTCAAGTTTTTTCCTTTTTTATTTAAAAAACATATTTCAAATCTCAACCTAAAGTTAGTTAATAGTAGAAGCTTCCTTCTGAAGTGTTTATCCTATTTATCACAATTTATCTCAGAGGGTGGTTCCCAATGTGCCAACATCCCAGGTTGCCTACACTGCTATCGAAAAAATCAATGCATGAGTGTTTGTGTATTGGGTTATTCTAACCTATGTTAGCAAATGAACTCATTGGATGAATAAGATTTAATATAAGTAATAATAATTATTACAGTATGTGTTATTTTAATATCTGCACAGCATTATTAGCACAGTTCTACTGAAGTCACCATAGTCACCATAATCACAAAAGTCACTGACATCACTGAAGTCACATTATCACAAAGATCAATAAATGTTCAATGTCACTGAAGTTTGACTAGATGTCCCACAGCGTCAATAAACTGCAGCGGTGTTTTTCTGCCTGTAGACAACTGGTCTTTCCGTCTTTGTATTTTGAAGTCCAAGTCTTTGTAGATTCACTCGTGAAGGTCCGGGTTAGAATATTGGCCTTCAGTAACCCATGCTTGCCGTATAAGAGGCGACTAACGGGATCGGGTGGTCAGGCTCGCTGACTTGGTTGACACATGTCATCGGTTCCCAATTGCGTAGATCGATGCTCATGTTGTTGATCACTGGATTGTCTGGTTCAGACTCGATTATTTACAGACCGCCTCCATATAGCTGGAATATTGCTGAGTGCGGCGTTAAACTAACTCACTCACTCTTTGTAGATTCGGGACCGCTGACGTCTGGTACCGCCGTGTTCCAATTGTCTCCTGAAGATGCGCTCTTCAGATTGAAGTTATTCATTGGTTGTTTTAAGCAGCCGATGCCTAACAACACCCCTATGTTAAATTAGACGGTTCATTCGCGGTCAGGCGACTTTTTACGGCGTGTATAAACAAACATTGAGCGAATTTAGTTTTCGTCTTCCCGCGAATGCTGTCGCCTTCCCGATGGGCGAGCGAATGTTTGTCTAAGTCCCTTCGATGTATGAACAGGCGATGTCGATAACAAAACTACTAGTACATTTATATATCTGATTGAATGTAACATGACATCTTCAAATTGTGCCGGGTTTTTTTAACAAGCAATTTATAAATAACCATATGTATAACACCATTATTCACATGATGTGACACAACTTCGCGTATGTAACAGTCATAGTGATGTACGTTTCAACAAAGTTATCCCTTTCGGCATACTCGATGACAGTGAGTGAGTGAATATGGTTTTACGCCGCTTTTAGCAATATTCCAGCAATATCATGGCGGGGGACACCAGAAATGGGCTTCACACTTTCTACCCATGTGGGGAATCGAACCATGGGCCTTCGGCGTGACGAGCGAACGCTTTAACCACTAGGCTACCCCACCGCCCCTCGATGACAGAGACGTGCCCAGTATCAGACAGACAGACAGACTATTCTCAAAAGAACCCATCAACGGTGGTACATGAGAAAAGTACAATATAAATTCGCATATGATAATATAATCAATCAAGATGACAGCAATATAAGGTAAATACATATATCTAAATATATATATATAGTGAAATTTTCAATGAAATATGACAAAATAAGTTAACATGATTCTCATGCAGCTGCAACTAAACTAAAGATGATGTTGATGAATTTAGACAGGTTTTTCACATTTTTTACTCTGGTGCTAGATAAACATTTTTTAAGCTTGAACATATTAGGCCATTCGTAGAGATCTTTACGTGTGTGTATAGACCGCGGCTGGAGAAGGGCTTCACACCTGAACAGGTAGTGGAACTCATCACCAACCGCCGGGGAATTACATAGATGGCACCAACGTTCCACTCTAGGGGTATCAGACCAGCGTCCGGTCTCAACTGGTAAGTTGTGATTTGTTGTTCTAAATTTCAAGATTGGATAATAGACGTTTTTAGGTAGATAGAGGTATTTTTCAAAACTTATAT